GGTGGATGAAAGCTGCCTGGCTCATTGGTCTGGGGATCAGGCACGAAGCTGCCCCCTCAGAAAGGAGCCGTGCCGGAGCCCGATGCCACGTGCATCCGTTAGCAGCAGGCGGCCCTTCGCGTTGTGCCTCTGGCCAGCTGCTTGGAGCACTTAGCGACGCTGGCACGGCTCTCCCCATTTTGTGGGTGCCCGGCTCGCATCCGGGCCCGCGTCTCCACGTTGCAGCCGTGAGAACAGAAGCTGACCGTGGCCCACGTGCTCCCTGGGGCTGTGCTGTGTTTTTAAAGGTGAGACCACCCCCGAGCCACTGGCAGATTGCAGCAGGTGCAGGGGGGCCGTGCTGCGTTCTCGTCACGGTCTGCGCTGTCCCCAGCGCCTGTGCCACCCAGGGGGGAGGAGACAGAGGATGCCAGACTCTGCGGCGGTGGGGACGATGCAGGCGTCCCTCCAGGCTGGCGGCGCGTGCAGGTCTGCTTGGCTGGGCCCTTCTGGTAGGGCAGCAGCAGGGCCCAGGGCTTCCCAGGTGCTTTCTGCCCACTCCTTGGGCTGCCATGTGCTGCAGCAGCTCTGCTCAGGGATGCGAGTGTACAGGTGAATGTGTCACGAGCGGCTTGTGACTTTGCCCTGATGCTGGGGTGCTGTGGCAGCGAGGCCTGCAGTGCTCCCTTGCAGCGGTACCTCCAGAAACAGCTGCGCAGACTCAGGACGGTGCGTGCCTGCCCCAGCCTGGAGCTCAGTGCCTCGAGTGACCCTGCTTTAACTTGACAGTGAGGTTTGATGGATGGGACGCTGGCGGCGGGTGCCAGCGGGAGCCCTTGGACCTGGCTGGCAGGGCGGGCAGCCATGCAGACATCGCGCTCCTCTGCACTGCCGAGGGATGGTAGGGGCTGCGCTGGGCTGCTGTGCAGGAGCTCTGTCTCTGCCATGAGGGCTCCAGCCTGTGCCAGCACGCTCTTCTACATCCCCGAGGGTTGGACTCGTGTCTCCAGCACCCTGACTAGCTGCTCATGCCCTTCCCAGGCGAGCAGAGCTGGGAGCGCCCTTGCCCTGTGCCTGGCGCCCTGGGTTGCTCTCCAGTGGCCCTGTTTATTTCTGGCTGTTTATTTCTCTACCAAGCTCATGGCGCTGTGGCGCATCCCTTCGGGGCGGGTGCAGCAGGAAGGGGCGGGCACCTGAGCCCCTCCTCATGCAGCCTGTAGCACCAGCAAGGCCTTTGGTTTCAGAGCCTTGCCTGCGTGTCCCCGTGCTTGAGCGGCTTCCTGCCCGGGCTGCCGTGGCGGCCCCGTGGGGGAGTGCCGTGCCGCGCGCTGGCTGGTGTGCCCGCAGGCCTGCACCTAGCCTGCAAGCTGCTGGCCTGGCCACCAACATGGCAGTGGTCATGAGATGTCTGGGGCGCACTTCCCATCCTGTGCCGGGGGCTCGTGGGCGCGCTGCGGCCTTGCGCTGCTGGCAGCTCCAGGGTTGCCGGTGCCGTGCCGTGACTTCCCCTCCCCTCCTGACAAGGCGCTTGCCAGGGAGGAGGACGGTGACTGTGCTGTAGCTGCTGGGGGACCCGGGCAGCTTGTCATCGCCTCCTTGTATGACTTTTCCAGTCCGTGTTTGGTAAATTTCCCCCGTATGTGAGGAAGACGGAGGGAGCTGGGCTGGCCCCGGCGCACAAGAAGCAGCCTCCTGCGTTCAGAGGAAGGGAGGCGGGTGGAGCGGCCGTGCCAGGGTGGACTGGACAAGGGCGCAGCGCTCTGGGTGGAGCTGCGGAAACAGGAAATGAGCATCTGCCTGTTTTCGCTTCCAGCATGGCTCCCAGCGCAGCAGGCAGGGCTGCCCCACGGTGATACAAACAGCCCTGCTGCAAAGATAAGAGCAGCACGTGGCTGGTGCCCCCCCCCGCCACCCGTGGCCCTGATTTAAGGCATTTAACTGCTGGCTGCCAAAGGAAGGGAGTGAAGAGCCAGCAACAGGGAAGCCTGACTCTGAGCATCCACCTGGACTCGCTGTGGGGGACTGGCCTGTTTGTTGTAGCAGCATCTTGTTTCTGTCCAAGTCTCGTGCGTGGGCAGGCGTCAGCAAGCGTCGCACCCTGGGGGTCCCCGTGGTGGTGGATTCCTGCTGGGGAGCTGGGGTGGGGGGAGCTTACTGCTGCAGATGCTGTAGCTTGTTCAAAAAACTGATCTAGTCCAGAAAGCGCCGATCTGGTGCAGACCGAAGCACCGCACCATCACGGGGCAGGAGTGGGCTGTGACCTACTTGATTTGAAACTTGGCTCTCAGGTTCTCTCCAGTTGTTCTGACTGATGTATCCTTGGTCTGACGTTTATGAAAACCTCCCCTAATTGCAGTTCCTTTGATTCTGCAGGTGGTATTTTCCTGCCTTCCGGCTGCTCTGTGTTTGCTGGGCCCTTATTTAGTACGATTGTGTTCGGTGTGCCCAGAAACGTGGCAGGCACCGAACGGTAGGCCCCAGCTCCAGTCTGCAACAGCAGTGGGGGGGAAAGGGACTGAGGCTGGGGAGGTTCAGGCCTGCAAAGTGGAACTGAGGTGGAGACGGAGCAGATGTGGATACGTGCACGAGGAGCGGGTGTGGATGTGGGTTGCCTCTGACAGGGCACTGTGCACAACTAGCACAACCTGCCCTGTTGAAAACCGGCTTGCGTTGGGGGATGGATAGTGGGCACAAGCAGTGCGAGTGAGATGGACGTGACGGTGGTCTCCTTTTTTTGTTTGAGACTGCAGTTGACGGAAGCTGCCGGTACTGCTTGAAAATGAGAATTTCAACTTTAAAAACAAACAAAAAAGCAAACCACTTTCCCGCACCCTCATGCCATCAATGTTTCTCCTGCAGCGAAAGTCTGCTCGCCTTCACCAGTGGTGTCTTGAGCTCTGGCAAAAAGCCCTGGCAGCCTCCTGGGCACGGGGTTGCCGATACGCAGTGAGGCGTTTACTCTGTGCTCAAGTTATGATGGCAGAGGGGGAAATAGTCCTGGGAACTGTAGGCAGTTGCTGCTTTGAAGCGGGTTCAGTCTGAGCCTAAAGCTATGTGGCAGCTTCTTTGCTTCCTCTTTCTGGACTTTTTGAGATCCCGTTTTTCTCTTCTTGTCCTCTGGACTCCGAGTAACTGGAAGTGGGGCCTCGGCACGACTGTTTGCTTTTGAGAAGACGGGCCCAGCCCATGTCAGGAGCGCCAGCGGGGCCAGGCTGCTGCTTGTGGCTGAGCTGATCGTTTTGGTTATGCTGGACCTGTCCTTGCAGGCTGAGCCCCTGGCCCAACTCAGCCCTCTTGTCTGCCTCCGGCGTGGTGCAGGGATTACAGAGCAAAGCCCTGGGCGCAGTGGTGCTCATGTCTCTTCATGCCGGTTTCCTCTGCAGCCCCTAGTCGGTCTCGACCTCTTGGAGAGGAATGGCAGCTAAATGTGTCTTCTCTTTGCAGCTGCCGAAGCAGTAACAGGAAGAGCCTGGTGGTGGGAACGCCGTCTCCAACGCTATCACGTCCCCTGTCCCCACTGCCTGTGCCAACAGGTAAGGAGTGGCCTGCCCCTGTGCCTGGATGGTTGGGAGGAGCAATGCGCAGGGCTTAGTGACTCTCAGGCACCGCCAAGGACTTTGCTGGTGTTTGCATCCCCTGCAAGGTCCTGTGCTGGAACCACAGCAGCCTGTTGCTGCGAGTTCAGTCCCCTCGCAGAGTGCGTCTGCGTGAGCCCAGGGCCATCGGCACTTTGGGATGGGGAGCACATGTGAGACGAGCTTTGTGCAGTCCTGCTTGCTGCCAGTCGCTCGTGCCCCTGGCAGGGCGGGTGCCGGGGTGTGCCTGCAGGCATGTGGCACCTGGCTTACAAGCCCATCCTTGTGGCAGGCACCGTTGCCTGTGATGGGGCGGGCGTCTCCCACGCCAGAGAGCAGGTTTGTTCTCCAGCAGGAAAGCAGGATGGGCTACAGGAACCATTTGCCCGGTGCCCTTTCAGCCTCGAGGGGCAGCCACTGGCTGAGGCAGGGTCCCAGCCCCGGGCCATTCACTTCTCGCCTTTCCTCTTTGCAGCCGGGAGCAGCCCTCTGGACAGTCCCCGGAACTTCTCCACCGGCGCCTCCGTCAACTTCCCCTTTGCTCGCAGGTGAGCTGGGCCTGGTTTCTGCCCGTAGGCTGGGAAGGGTCAGGCCAGGCTGCCTGCTGGACCGCAGGAGGCGCGGAGCAACGGGCTCCTGTTGGGAGCATGCTTCTCCGGGCAGAGCGGGTGCAGCTGATCATGCGTCAGCTTCTGCCTCCAGAGGCCCAGGATTGCACTGGGTCTCTGGGCCTGGGGCTTCATTGCCCTTCGGGTTAGTCCTTGGCACAGGTTGGTGCAGTCACTGGTCCAAAAGTGGCCAGAGACGGGAGCAAGAGGGATAGAGCGTGGACTGAAGAGCTCCTTTGGCAGGTCACTGCGCAGACCAGCTGCAGTACCCCTGGCTTGGGGGTGGGGCGTGTGGGCAGCTCTAGCCGGGTAGTGTGGGAAGGGCTGCTGCACAAGCAGGATGCTGAGGGCCTCCGTCGCTGCACTGCGCGTCCCCACGGTTCTGCATCATGCAGCTCTTCCCTGCGGCTCTCTGGAGATGGTGGGAGTCGTGACAGCTGCCAGGTTGCTGGTGTTCCCAAGGTAGAGGGGACGTGATGAGCCATGAGCTGAGGGGATGACAGCAAGCCTTGCTTGTTCTCAATTGCCACTTTCTGACTCCCTCCCTCTCTCTCTCCTTCTCTCTGATTCATCTCTTTCCTGTGGCACCGTGTCCTGCTTTCTCCCAACCGGATCTGCCGCTGCTCCCGCAGCCATGCTCCTCGGACTGATAGGCAAGTATGAAAGCAGCCGAGCCTTAGCTGGGGGAAAGGGTGGGCAAGGGATCATATCCCGTGTGAAGCTGTCTGGATTATAAGCAGCTACTCAGCTGAAATCCAGAGTGGGGAGCAAGCAGCCAGCGCTCGAGGAGGGCTGTGCAGAATCCAGGCTACCCGGGCCCTGTGCCAGGCTGCTGCAACTGCCTTTGCGGCGCACGCAAGTACAAGTAAACCTCCAGGCAGGCGCATGCAGTTCGGGCTCGGCTCAGGCGGGGCAGGGGCAGGCGTGTTGCTGACCCATGGCATCCTAATGGGGAGCAACCAGGACAGAGTAAACTGTCCTTTACTCTGAGCAGAGTGACACAACCCCGTGGCTGGTGAATGGCAGGGCAGAGCGCAGGTCTGGGAATGCTTGGCCCTGACGGAGTCATTACCCTGGCACCAACATGCTTCGCTGGGCCTAGCAGCAGCCCCCAGTGCACTGAGCTAGCCTAGTTGTGAAGCGCAATCAGGTGCAGCGCGGGGAACCCGCTGGGCGTGGCGCCTGCAGGGTGGAAAGCGTTCCCGGCAAGGCCCACTGCCCTTCTGCTTGTGAGCGGGGTGCTGTGGTCTCCGTGTGCTCTCACCTCCTGTGTCTGCAGGGACAGAGCTGCTCTGCAGACTGCAGTCTCAGGAGCCCTGATTTTTCTGTAACAAAAATTCAGATCAAACACTACGTCCCCTCCGTCCCCTCAACTG